GCTATCCTTTGCTCACAGATAGGAAGAACCAATATATTAAAATGGCCATACTTCCAAAATTGCCATACAGATTTATTGCAATCTCAATCAAAATACTAATGATGCTAATATTACTTATAGAGCTGGCAAAAGGAATTTTTTTTTGGCAGTCAATTGGCATTTTATTAAAGGTACAGAACATATTGGAGGTGAAGAATGATATTGTTAAAAGATATTATTAGAAAAACTGTACATCCACAGGCAAACACATATCGTTGGACCATTGATCCCTTCTGAAGTAAATAGTTTGAAAGGGATTAAAGATAAATAAAAACTGGAAAATGAAGCATCTGGAAAAAAAAAACACAGAAAAAGTGTTATTGATGTTGGTCATGACAATGGTTTATTGGACACGACCAAAAGAGCAGAGCCATGATAGGAATTATAGAAAACTGAGCAGCAATAAACTAATCAACTTCTACTCAGCAAAGTAAATGGTCTACTGAAAAAAAATAGCAGTCTCCAGGATGAGATAGAATATCTGAAACAGAACAGAGGACTTTTGGTGTAGTGAAAGGACTCTGCAGTATACAAATGGAAAAATTTTCCCATAGAATCCATAGAATTCAAAGAACCAAGAGTGAATTAAAATGCAAACTGTGGGCTCCGGGTGTTGCTGTTGTGTCAGTGTGGCCACCAGCTGTAACACGAAGCTCAGTGAAGGATTTGAGCAACAAGGGAGATTGTCCCTGTGTAGCAGCAGGGGTATGTGGAAAATATCAGTGTTTTCCACTTAAGTGTGATGAGAATTTAACAGCTCCGAAAGCATTTAAAAAATTAAAAACAATGCAAGATCATGTGGTTACTTCTCTGGACTGCCATAGGCAACACAAACGAAGGAAATTCTCTCATAGAATAAGAGCCTCAAAAATTTCAATCTCACATGCAGCACAACTGTCTTATGTGTCCTCTGCAATATTCCAATAATTTTTTCTTTATATTACAGTCTTCCCTGCCTTCAGCACACGTATAGTTCCTAACCCTCAAATTAAACTTAACTTTTATATTATTCTTCTGGAACCAATAGTCAGTGACAGGTCCCAGTCCAATACACAAATCTATGCCTTTATTTCAGTTGTGCTCTGGCAAAAGCAATTTTAAAATTCATGTGGAATCAGAAGAGACCGAGAATAGCAAAAGCATTTCTGAACAACAATGGCAAGGCAAACTTACAATTCCAGATTTCAAGTTATACTGCAAAGCTACAGTGATAAAAACAGCATGGTACAGGGAAAAATATGAAACAGACTCATGAATCAATGGGACAAATAGAAGATACAGAAACAACTCCAGGCACTTAGATATGTTATTATTGACAAAGAGGCCAAATCGCTTTGCTGGAGGAAGGTTAGCATCTCCAACACATGGTGTTGGGAAGACTGGCTATCCACAGGTGGATGGCTAAAACTGGATCCTTATCTCTCACTGTGAGGCAAACTAAAATGAAAATGGATTAAAGTCTAAACATTAGACCAGAAACACTTAATTTTCTGGTTGACAAAATCAGTAAAAACTCTTCAAGACATAGGTCTAAGGAAAGACTTTCTGAAGGTTGCACAAGAGATAATACCAAGAATCAATTAATCACAACAAATTAAAAGCTTCAGCACAGCAAGGAAACCTGTAACAGAGTGGAGAGACAAAGTAAAGAATGGCTAAAAATTTTTACCAGGTACTCTCCAGACAAATAACTAATATCTAGAATATATAAAGAACTGAAAAAAGATTAGGACCCCAAAATTTAAAGACTCAATAAAAATGGGCATCTAAAAAAAGCAGTCCTTTTTCAGATGTATAAATACACAGCCAATACATACATGAAAAAATGTTTAACATTGCTAGCCATTCAAGAAATGCAAATTAAAACAACATTGAAATTCCATCTCACTCCAGAAAGAACAGCTACCACCAACAAATCCACCAATCAGAAATGCTGCCAAGGCTGTGAGAAGAAGGGATCCTTCTCTGTTGGTGGGACTTTAAACTGATGCAACCACAAAGAAAATCAGCGAGCAGATTTCTCAAAAAACTAAACGTATAAATTCCATTTGATCTCTTTTTTTAAAATGAGATATTTATACACAATGGAGATCTACTGTGCCAAAAAGAATGATAAATGTGACATTAGTAGGAAAAAGGATGAAGCCGAGAATGTGAAGTAACTCAGACACACCAGCTTAAATATTGCATTCTCTCTCTCTCTCTCTCTCTCTCTCTCTCTCTCTCTCTCTCTCTCTCTCTCTCTGTCTATCTCTTTGTCTCTCTCTCTCCAAATGTGTGTGTATGTGTGTGTGTGTAAAAGTAAAAAAAAATAGGAAAAAAGAAATAAAAACTTGCAGCCCAGTGTGAACAATGTGCTTAAAAGTGCACCTTGACTTCGTACAACTGTCTTACATGGTTTATATGTTCATTGGCTATTAGTCTCTTATTTCCAATATGTGTACAGGATAATTAGCTTTATAAGGGCTTATGAATGAATAGATCTGACAGCCAATCCTTTCTTTTCTTCCACTCGATAAAATATTCACAATTTCAGAGGAGGAAAGAACAGCTAAGATTCCGCTGCATCCTTAAGAAAAGGGACCTTGAAGCTCTCTTCTCCTCAGGCCAAATCTGAAAGGTTGAAGTGGTCATGGCAGTCATCTTGGTAGTGGGAGAACCTTAGAGTTTAGACAGGAACAATAGGCAGGATCTGGCCACAGAGGCGTTTGTCATCCAATGCCACAAAAAGACTATGCTCTTGGCAATGGGCATGGTACTGCAGGCGCCTCTGCTGGTATGTCTGGGAAGAAAGGCCTAAGGTAGTTGTGCTGAATCACCAACATCAGGAACTAATTTGGGAAGACAATAGGGATTTTCAGGATGTTAGAGTAGTGGATACATTGCACAGAGAGCTGGCCAGCTTGTGAAGGGCTAGAGGGAATATATAGGACTTGCCTGGAATAATAACAAAATCTCAGGAGGGAACAAAGACACATCGTGGATTCACTATGAGCAGAGAGAGGAGACGCCCATCCTGGTTCGTGATTTTGTACTAGGTCATGTCCGAGAGACTTCTACACAGCCCCCAAACATGATGAGGAGTGACTCTAAAATGACTAATACAAATTCTCACCCACTTTTAGAATGAAGGCTCAAAATAAAAATAGGTTATGGAAAAATAACTTATTCCCCTTTCCTTCACACCTGAGATTCCCAATAAAGATAATGTATATGACAGAAGAAAGAGGGAGAGAGAGATTCAGGAGACATGGTTCTGGCTCAGGTGCAGTCAGTCATAAATTTGGGGAGTTACTTCACCTCTTGGATCTCAGTCCACTCAAATGTAAAGTGAAAGTCTTAGTCTAAAAGTTTCTTGGCCAAGCAGGGGTTTTCTTTTCTTTTCTTTTCTTTTTTTTAAGTTAGTAGCGTAAAGACATAAAAAGAAACATCTATATCAGAAAGAAATTCTGATTGCCGCAGTGATGCTAGAGGCTCACTTGCACAGTTTCTTGCCCACAGCCAATGCTCAAAACATATGTGTTTAAGTGGGACAAAGCAAATCCCAGGATTCAGTGTCAAAATTATCCTTGGAGTCTTGTTGCCCAGGTGTGTCTTACTCTGCTGGTTGGTGAGCATGTCATGACCAACTTTTTTTAACAATGTATATTGAGACTTATGCAAAGTCATGAAATGTGTTTCTGAGCCCCATGCTAAGCAATGTTAAAGCTCTTACATTCATGACCTGGGTGATCATAGCTGCTTCAGAACTTAGAAGATAAAAGCAGTTGGAGGAAGCACAAAAGGACTCCTCTCTCCTTTGCTTGGGAGATGTTTGCTTCATACCATTCTTGGACATGGAGGGAAAAACAGAACCACGATGCATCTGCTCAACCACAGCAGTGATGCTGGGTGGGGTACTGTAGGGTAAAAATTTCATGTTTCTTTCCTTTTTGCCTCATTCTAAGACAAATTTTTCATCACTTACAATCACTACCTTATAATAATTTATACTATGCACAGCAACTTTCGTAACACTCAAGACACACACCATAAAAATTATATATAATGTCCTGAGATAATAAAGGGAGAACCCCTCTAGCTATTAAATGACAGCATTGTTTTGGTACTCTCCGATCTTACAGAAAATGCTCTAGAGAGGGAAAGCCTCCAAGTGTGGTTAAGAAGTGCTAATGGCCTACAGCGTGAGGCTGGACAGCCTGGGCTTCATTTGAAGAGCTTCATTTGAAGAGCTAGAAGAAAAGCTGTTTCAGCCCACATAAAACAAACAGAGAACAGCAACCAAAGAACCCACCCACACAGCCAGGCCCTTGAGAGCCTGCTGAAGATTTTCCTCCACAGTGTCTACAATGTGAGGTGCATCTTAACCAACGCTCCTCCACACCGGCACTTGTCTTTAAGAAATGAAAAATAGTGGAAAAATTCAAAAGAGGCAACAGCAGCATAGCATCTACTTGGTAGGCATGTCGATTTGTGTATATGACTTGCAGCCCTAGGAAAAAGGGGACTTGATTTTATTTTTGGTGGCACGGGGAATCAAACACAATGACTTTGCCCTGAACTGTATTTCCAGCCCCATTTATTTGGAGACAGAGTCTCACTAATTTTCCTGGGCTGAAATTGAATTTGCAGTCCTCTTGCCTCAGTTTCCCACAGCTCTGGGATCACAGGCATGTGCCTTGCAAAAAGATGACCTTTGAGGTCAGAAGAAGGAGGATCACTTAGCTAACGTGTGTGATCCCCACTGTAGCACTGTATAGCTGATTACTGAATCCTCCAGATTACTGCCTTGGCTTGAGCCGTCTTCCCCGTCCAACTTCACTGCCAGGACTCAGATAGCTTTCCTTCAACTCCCAGAGTTGCCACCTCCCATTGTCCATCCAGAGGGTTCTGTAGCCTAATACTGTAATACTGTCTGTCTAATTCTCCTTTTTTCTTGCTGTCCTTGAAAATAAGTCCCAGACCACTTCCACTGCTGCTAAATTAAATACTAGAGAAAACACAGTGGTATGCAGAGCACCAGCTGCGAATGGCAGCTCTCAAATCCCGTGCTTAGATGACATCTAGAAGTTCCACGAGTCTCCAGCATTCTCCCATTTCTACTGCAGTGAAGGTTCTTGCAACCCCAAGCCCTGTCCATGCCTTGACTATGCTAATTTCTCTTTTCAAAAAAAGTGTTGTTATAAGATATTGTTACATTCTAAAGAAAAGGCGATTGATCCCTGCCAGCTGGGACTCACATTTCTACATCTCTCCAGGCAGGAAGAGATACTAATCTTGCAGGGTTTTCTACCCAACATTGATCATTTCTACACACTGTTTTTCAGATAACGATTTGAACTACTTGATCTACTACCATATTTATTTACACTTATGTATTTGGTAGAGGGTCTCACTACGCAGCTCGGACTTGTAGTGATCCTCCTGTTTTTCAGCCTTCCCAGTGCTGGGATTACGGGCATGAACCACCATGCCCAGACTTGGTAGCAGCTCATGTGCTCTGGGTGTGAGGCTGGTGTGGCATGTGGGACCAGGGATCGAACTCTGGTCCTTGTGTTTGCCAAAGGAGGTGCTTAGTCCACAGAGCTATCTCACCGGCCCAGTCTGGTATGATGTTTTAAAAAATTAATTCTTTGACAGCATTGGGGATGGACTGAAGAGTCACTTAATACATTCTAGGTAAGCCCTGTCTCTATGAGCTATACCTCTCAGTCCTTTGTTGTTCTAGAACACTGGTGGCAAACCTACAGCAGGTGTGCAACAGTGCGCTGTTTTTATATTGAAAGCTCTAAAAGGTGCATTATCACAGTTCCAGAAGCTTTTCATTACCATTTTATTCTTCCTTAATACCACGTCTTGAAATACTAAATTCCATTAACTAAGGATACCTATGCCACTGCATAGCTCCCAACAACATCCCCCAAAGGAGAGCTAGTGTTCAAGGAACTGAGTGACTCACCTGACTCTGTCACCACCATTATTTCCGCCAGTCCTGATGACAGAAAGCAGAAACGAGCAAAGAATTTGAGTGTCATGTAGCTCTGACTTACAAGTACTACTAACCCCAGTCAAATATCACATGTTTATGTAGCACTTTCCTTGGCCAGAAGACTAACTGCATCTTAAAATTTGTTCACAAGCTTTCACAATTTTCCTCCAGTGCTTATTATTAGCTGCACTTAATATTCACTGATAGTAAAGCTTCAGAAAGTTTGTTTGGCCAGAGCCTTTGGAAACAGAATGATTTCTCCTTTGCCAAACTGAAAACCATTGAACAAAGACTTGGCAAGAGCCTCTGTGGAATACAGTGGTTCAGAGGCAGATGGCCCAGACTCAAATCATACTCTCCTGTGACTTCAGGAAAGTTCTGAACTAACTGCACTGTGGCTCATTATGCTCCTGTGCAGAATGGGGTCAACCACAGGCTTGCTACAAAGATTTAGCACCTGTGACTAGAAACTACCTAGATGGGAATATGGTAAATAATCCATTTGTTTTGACCATTATTATTGCTTTACAGTGCAGAACAATTATCATCCAGGCCCTTTTCAGATCAGAAAGATTTAAGGTAACTCAGGAAGATGAGAGGCACAGATCCTCTAAAATGATGATCTAGAAAGCAGTTTTCCAAGGCCAGATATAGCAGCTCTTAGCTGCTTTTCCTGATTCAGCCTTGTGGCCTCCCATCATTTTTCCTCACTGTGGGGAAATCTAGCTATCTAAAACACAGGACTAATCCAGACACATCCCCAGGTAAGATGCTTCCTGGGCTCTGAACTGACCCGAGAGGAGACATCTGAACGCCCACTGGCCCTCAGGTCTTTCCCAGTGAGGACCAGTTGCCCTGCTGGCCACCTTCACTATCGTTTTCTTGTACTCTGGTGCTTGAGGCAGGCTGAGTGACCACAAGCCACATATTTTCACCTACAGTTCTCCACACATGCTCTTCTTTTTATCCAAAAACCTCATTGTCTCCATCCCCACCCACATCTGTACCTCTCCAGTAGCTCATGTCTCAGA